CTCCCATTCTGTAGGTTGCCTGTTCACTCTGATGGTAGTTTCTTTTGCTGTGCAGAAGCTCTTTAGTTTAATGAGATCCCATTTGTCAATTTTGGCTTTTCCTGCAGACGTTTTCTTAATCCAGTCTATCGTTGATGGATATTTGGGTTAGCCCCAAGTCTTTGCTGTTGTGAATAGTGCCGCAATAAACATACGTGTGCATGTGTCTTTATAGTAGAATGATTTACAATCCTTTGGGTATATACCCAGTAATGGGATGGCTGGGTCAAATGGTATTTCTAGTTCTAGATCCTTGAGGACTTGCCACACTGTCTTCTACAGTGGTTAAACTAATTTACACTCCCACCAACAGTGCAAAAGCATTCCTATTTCTCCACATCCTCTCCAGCATCTGTTGTTTCCTGACTTTTTAATGATCATCACTCTAACTGGTGTGAGACCATATCTCACTGTGATTTTGATTTGCATTTCTCTGATAACCAGTGATGATGAGCAGTTTTCCATGTGTCTGTTGGCTGCATAAATGCCTTCTTTTGAGAAGTGTCTGTTCATACCCTTTGCCCACTTTTTGATGGGGTTGATTTTTTTCTTGTAAATTTGTTTAAGTTTTTTGTAGATTCTGGATGTATTAGCCCTTTGTCAGATGGGTAGACTGCAAAATTTTTCTCCTGTTCTGTAGGTTGCCTGTTCACTCTGATGGTAGTTTCTTTTAATGCCCTAGAAGAAAATCTAGGCCATACCATTCAGGACATAGGCATGGGCAAAGACTTCATGACTAAAACACCAAAAGCAATGGCAACAAAAGCCAAAATAGACAAATGGGACCTAATTAAACTAAAGAGCTTTTGCACAGCAAAAGATACTGGGGTTTATAACCAGAGTTGCTTGAAGAATTAGGCCTCACTTGTTGTCACCATTTCTTAATTTCCCATTTCCCTCTCAAGTCTAATGCAATGTAGTTTCTGCCTCCACTATTCAAGTGAATCTGTTCTCATTAAGTTAATGGGGGTTTTTAAATATTCAGATCTAGTGATTACATTTCAGTCTTTTATTGGTTGGTCCCTTTGCAACATTTAAAACCTTCTACTGACTGGGCACAGTGGCTCATGCCAGTAATCCAAGCACTTTGGGAGGCCAAGGTGGGAGGATTGTTTGAACCCAGGAGCTCGAGACTAGTCTGGGAAACATGGTGAAGCCCCTGTCTCTACAAAAAGTTAGCTAGACTTAGTGGTTTGCACCTGTTAGTCCCAGCTACTTGGGAGGCTGAGGTGGGAGAATAACCTGAGCCCAGGAGTTTGAGGCTACAGTGAGCTGTGATTATACCACTGCACTCCAGCCTGGGTGACAAAGCAAGACCCTGTCTCAAAAACAAAACAAAAAAAACTCTCTACTACCTTGAATTCTGCCACACCATTCATTTTCCTATCTGCCTGGTGTTCTTTCCCTAACTTATTTTTCCCCCTAAGAGCTGATATCAGTAGATTTCCGTATTTGGCCTTCTCATTTTCTTCCTGTTTTATATGCTTATTAGTGATTACTTCCAAGCATATAATTTCAGACCAAACTGCTCTCAGTACTAAATTAATATATCCAAAGGATTCTTAGACATTCCCACTTCATGCTATGTAAATAGTTCAATTTCACCATTTCAAAGAAGACTATTTTTTTCTGGGACTTGCTTTTCTATGTTCTGTAATATCTATATATGGCATCAGTTCATCCAAACTAAAACTATGTGAATCAAAAACTCAGTTAATTGTGATTGGTCTCCCTCACCCACTTTCTAATGTAAATGTCAGAAATACTAGCACATCATTTCAATTTCACCTCCTAAGATCTCTCAAATCCTTGGGACCTTGTCAGCATCTTGATTACTTCACTCAGAATCTTATCTTTTCTCACCTCTCTGATTAGAATAATTCCCTACATGGTCCCATGTCATTAGTCTTTCCCCTTCTAATCCATCTTGCACAGTGCACAGGAGAGATCTTTCTCATCCTCAAATCAGCTTATGTCATTCTCTTGCTTAATATTCTTTAATGCCTGCTTAAGTTCACCTTCCTTAGCATGGCATGCAGGCCCTTTACGGTCAGATAGTAGTGACAGTGAGAAATCTCAGTCTTAAAAATAAGGTATTCTAGATAACGTTTTCTATAGGTTTTTGGTACATATCCTTTGGAAATACCAAGTTTTCTGAGTTTTTTTTTAATATCATAAATAGGTGCTGAACTTTATCAGAATATTTCTACAACTATTGAGATAATCGTGATTTCTCCTTAAGTTCATTAGTGTCGTTTGAAAGTTACACATTCTATCTTTATCCTGCTGGTGATTGTCCCTGTCCCTAACTTTTTTTTTTTTTTTAATAGAGTCTTGCTTTGTTGTTCAGGCTGGAGTGCGTGGCACAATCTTGGCTCACTGCAACCTCTGCCTGCCAGGTTCAAGCGATTCCCGTGACTCAGCCACCTGAGTAGCGGAATTACAGGCATGCACCACCATGTCCAGCTAATTTTTGTATTTTTAGTAGAGACAGGGTTTCACCATGTTGGCCAGACGGGTCTTGAACTCCTGACCTCAAGCGATCTGCCTACCTCAGCCTCGCGAAGTGCTGGGATTACAGGGGTGAGCCACTGTGCCCGGCCAATTGTCCCTAACTTTTTAACATGCATAGGTTTATCAGAACTTCTGTCCACCCACTTATTCTCACCTCCATCTGCTTCCTCCTTCCTACCATACCTATCATCATATTGGTGTCTACATTTTTACATTAGGATAGTCTTAAATGTTTTTGGGTGGTTTTTATGGTTGTGTCTTTGTATATAAGATTAAAATTACGATATTGTATGCCTCAATTTCAACATATTATATAATAACATCTTGCATTTATTTCTTTTCTCGCTGGATTACTTCCTCCTAGGACATTTTGAAAGATGGTATTCTTGTGGTAAAAACTTGAGAACTTGTATAGTTGAGAATATTTTTATTTCTTTGTGATATTAAATAACTTAGATGAATTTAAAAATCTAGGCTCAGAGTTCTTTTCTTACAATACTTTGAAAATATTAATTCATTATCTTCTTGAATCTAATGTTGATGCTTTGAGAAAGAAGATTATATTGGTTTGTTCCTTGTTCCTTTAGAGATATGTTCTTTTTAAATGGAAGCTTTTAGAAGGTTTTCTGTTGTTGTTATTGGCTGTGATGTTCTTAAATGTCACACAAAGAAATGTGACTAAGTGTGTTTTTTCTTTAGAAATCATGTTTGGGAGACTATGAACCCTTTCATTCTATGCTCTTCAATTGTTCTTTAATAATGGGAAATTTCTCAGCCATTATTTCTTCAAAGATCTTATTTTCTTCTCCTTCAGGGACTTCTAATATCACAGGTGTTAATGCTTCTACCTCCATTTTCTTTGTCACCTTGCTTTTTCTTGTTTGTTGGAATTTTCAGTTTCTTTAACTGGATCTTTAAGATCACTGTTTTGGGCCAGGTGCGGTAGCTCATGTCTGTAATCCCAGCACTTTGGGAGGCCAAGGCAGGTGGATC